ACCATCCACCACGAGCCTGCAAGGCCCTTTGCAGCTTGCTTCCTCTCAGCCGTGCCATTTCCTACRTAATTCGTCTCATTTTTTCCATATATTTATTTCTTGCTGCTTCTTTCTAGCTGTAACTACAAGCTAATGCTATTCTGTGCAACGGGACGCTTTCTTTTCCCATCACATCTGCACAAAACACACCAGTTTGCAAGTGTTTAATAAAACACCACATTACTACTTACTTGCCACTTAGTTCACAAGTCAAAAATATTCTTCAAACTCGAGAACATTTCCTTGAGAAAACACTCTTCAGGTGATTTTGAGAACACACGACCGAGTGCTGCATTAATGCAGAAGTTTGGTTAGTGGCCAAAGTCACTTTTCAGGTCCTTCCAAACCAGAGCTCTTCCCACCTCCCCCCAAAACCACAGTTTTCTTAGGTGTTTCACCCYTGGTATCAAATAGAAAGCTGTGCAGCATTAGATAAATAGGGAAGCTAATCCCAGGGAGGCCTTAGCCCTCACAATCAGGTCAAGAGGCGCAAGAAGATTTGCCTACGTGGCCACAAACCTTAAAATGTTCTCTAAAGGACGATAGTTCCCATCTCCCCTCGAAGGTGCTGGAAATCAGGTCACCTCCTCCTAACACCTCAGCTACGAAGGACCCCACTGCGCCTAACCTGCCGAGAGGCRATATCCGTACAGGATAACAGGAACCTGAGGGTGGTTTTGAACCAACATCAACCCAAACTTCCCTCCGGTCCCACCTTGCTGAGGACTTTGGGGCAGGCCGTGTGCAGGCCGGGCTCCCTCTCACCGCCATGGGGCCGAGGGCCGCGCCGGGCAGGGCCTACAGGCCTTGGGCCTGCAGCCCAAGTCACCCGCGCAGCCTGGAGCCCGGCCTTGGGGACACACAGCCCTCCCGGGATGCCGCTCCTTAGGATCTAAGGCTGTATTTCAACAGCCTGATATTTTAACAGCCTTATATTTTATTATTACATGCAGTTGTAGTAAGGCAAGCCCTTACAAACCACCAGCTGCCCTTGCACCCGCGGGACTGCCGGCACGCTCAAAGGTGCCCTCGCACACCAGCACGTCAGCAGCGGGTATTTACCGGCCAATTAATACATTTATCGGCTAATTAATCGGCTAATCCAGAGCACTGCAGGGAAGTAAGGAAAAATGGCAGTTTGTGGCTGATTTTCTCAAGCATTGGCTTCAGTCTCCCAACAACGTTAAATATAATGTACTTAGGTCAATTTTATACTCTCGCTTCCTAAGTCATAGGATCCTTCTAATATATTCCTATATATTACACGTAACAGAAAAAAGGCAAACATATGTAGAAAATATTACCTGGAATCCAGACAAGGATCTTCATCCCGAAGAAGTGCTCAGCAATGCTCCTGCGCCTGGATTTCAAGCCTCCTTCTTCTTTATCACAAAAGGCTGAATATTTTACCACGGATTTGTTGAAGTAACACTACACTGAAGCCAATGTACTTATTTTTCCCAGCATGTCAGTGTTTTCCAGCGTACTCTCTTGTGAAAGATGGTAACGTGCTATCAYAACACAGAAGATATTCCTGCTCCAAGGAACAAACATTCGCCAAATACAGAAGAGTTAAGAGATTGAACACCGAGCAGCTGTGCTGAGGGAAGCTATAGAGAGCAAAACATCTCCTGAAAACTACCAGAGCAGTGACTGAGCTGGAAACGGATTATTTGCTCTCATTCCAGTAAGCCACAGCTAGGAGCTCATCCCATACTGAAACTATTCCCTCTCCGAAGGAAGGGAAGTCGCTGCTGTGTTGTGGCASTATCTCAAACCTGTGCACTCACACAGCACATCGTGATTACCTGGCTCTGGCATCCACAGCTTCAACTCTTGCTCCCCAGTGATGCATCACTGTGTGGGCAACCAAGTATGAGCTTTGGCTTCCAATATTAGCTTCACTTCAGAAAATAATTCTACTAAAAGGTGTTTTATGATTKAACTGTGAGAATTGCCTACAAGTGATTGCAGAAACCTTCATTTTCTATTCAAGATCCAACTGACGTACTATTGAACAATGCTTGATGCTGCATTGTAATAACTAACTCCATGTAGGCATTCAATTACATTTTAATGCATCTGTTTCCTGCATCATACCTATTACAATAGGGATTTCTTATCAAGATATACTTATTTACTTGGTTCTGTCCTGCATCATGATCCCCTCCCAAAAAGGGCTCTGTATATTTATTTCTAAAAAGTAATCAGCACTGTTCACAAAAAAAAAAAAAAGGGAACAAAACCTACATTACAACAACTCTCTACGTTAAGATAATCACTGAAAGGGGAAACTCCTCAAATCAAAACTCCCTGTTTGTCCTTCTTTGCAATACAGAAGTTTTATAAAAGMAGCATGTATCACACTGCACCGAATGAACCAGCATCGGGTTGGTGCTTTGGGAATTATTTCCTTAGCAGACGAACCGAAGGCCTGGGAAGCTTCCTAAAGGGCTCCTTTGAGAAGGGAGACGTGCCAAGATGTGCCAACCCGAGTGTTTTGCTACTCCAGTTCACTCCCGCATTCAGCAGAG